GTAGGGAAATGGACATTTTCAAATTACTTGTAGCACAGACAACATCCTAATACTACTAGTGCATTATAACTGAAGTTTCACTGTGAGAATAAAATCTGAGTTGCAATTGTCCCAGTCCTCTGTTACCTGAATGGGAGTGACAGGGAGAGGCTGAAGACACACTTCTGTTGTCCTCAAAAGTAAAAACATTTAGCCAAAGTTTTCTTGTTACCTTTCCTATAACTGTACAGCACAAAGTGGAAATATCCTTTTGAATTATTTGTTGAATGAATAAAAAGTGTGACCGTGTTTTTAAGCAGACTTTTTTTTTTTTTCACAGATGTGAAAAAGATCCTGGTAGTGCTGACTGAGGTAAAACAAACCCTGGTCCTGCATAAACTTTGCAGCACAACTTTACTGTGACATAAGGTGCCCCAATTTGAATCGACGGGGTTTGTGAAGCACTGATGAGCAAGACATGTTTAATGGGACTTGTAGGTCCAAATTCTTTGCTCTAAGGCAGCTAGAAGTATTTAGACATTATTTTATGCACTACTTAATTGGGAATTAACTTTTTTCCCTGATGGCTTAAAGCTTAATTTTGCACAGGTCATGCTCTTTTGTCTGTGATACAGCAGGTAAATTCATTGGTTCTCTTGTCATAATTTTACCTATGGAGTAAAATACAATCAACAAAGAAGACAAGGAGCCTTAAGTTAGAAATACCAGTCATCTAATGGCCTGGCCAACAGCTGGTTTCTGCTGCTGACTCTGCACTGCTGTGCCTTCGCAGGGTAGGAAGGAAGGAGGTGGGGACAGAGCCTGGAGCGTCTCCTTAGACATGTCAGGTATTCAAGCACCTAGGAACAGTTTCTGCTGATATAAGGAAGGGAAACGACAGATGTGCCTGGACAAGGATCCTCTGGCGCTGCTGGGGGCCCCTTGTTCACCCTCAGGCTGTTCAGACTTCATGTGCTTCACGTTACTTCATGTGCTGCGTGTGCTCCTGCCTCAGTGAGCACAAACTAAACCCGTTTCTTCTTCACAGGCGCGTTCTGTGCAGGTTTGCCCACATCAGTGGTAGTTTGCTATGAATGTTATACAAAGTGTCACGTATGTTATAACACAATAGGCTGTTTTATTAATGGTTGTTCAAAAAAACCGCAGGTAACCTGTAGTAAAATGTCAGGTCTCTCCCATTCAGGAGGCACAGTTGCTATTATATACCCGCAAGGTGAGAATTTGTGTTACTACTGAAAAATCCTTACTGAATGTTTTGTTTGGGAAAAACACATAAAGTCATAAACACTTGGAAATTGAAGTTACTGATCCTGAACCACTAACCATAAGTCATGAGGGAGAGTGTGATCCGCAGCTTAATAACACTGTATTGGCTAATCAAAACAAAAATGAAAATGCAAGTTTAACTCTGCAATGCTGTTGTGGGTGCCAGATGCATCCCCAGTGATACTCACATGTACTGTGAAAAGTACAGGCTGTGGAAAAGTGGAAGAAAGCTGAGTCTGCACACGCTTAGGGCTGGCTTTGTGGTCAGGTCTTTTACATGTGATGGGAAGGTAAACAAGAGAAAGAAGGATGTGAAATCACTGGATAGCTGTTCTGATGTGCCCGGTGAACTCCGGCCGTAATGCAGCCACTTCTCTGTTCTTTCACTCGAGGTGTCCAAGTGCTCCGAAGAGATAAAAAACTACATCGAGGAGCGGTCGGGCGAGGACCCGCTGGTGAAGGGGGTTCCTGAGGACAAGAACCCCTTCAAGGAGAAGGGAGGCTGTGTCATCGCTTAGGAAAACGAGCCCAGCGCCTGTCACCTGGAGCAGACAGTCTTCTTGTACCTGTAGGGAGTCACTAGCGTGTCCCCACCGCCGCGGGTCCTTGTGGAACGAGCACAGGAGCGGATTTCTTGTCGTCCTGATTTTTTATTATTATTATTTTTTTTTATTTTATTTCTTACAAAAAAAGAAGAAACCAACACGAAAGCAGCCGAGACCCTCGCGGCTCGCTCTCCCCGGACGGCTGTTCCCCCCTCCCCGGCGCGGCCGGGACGGCTCCTCTCGCTTCGCGGTGCCCGGTTCCGCAACCGCTAAGTTGCTTCACAGCTGCTCGTTGGCATTAAAGAAAACTTGTCTATAATCCGAGAGCCTGCGGTGGCTTCCTGAGGGGGAAAGGAGCTGGAGGAGGGATGGGACGGGACAGGGCGGTGCAGGGCCCGCCGGGCTGACC